GGACAGGACTGGTTTGGGTGTGGGCTATGGAAGCACCGCATAAAATTTTCGCAGTCACATTTGCTGCATCAAATGGCACGGCGCAGACAGATGTCACAGGCTACGTGGCTCGTACATGCTAGGAACACAGAGGCACGTCGACCACAATTATAGAGGCATTGCCGTTCCAGCCCGTCTACAAATTGGACATCACATGTCGGGGTGCCGTACATGAGAACAGTACTGACCGTCATCGTACATATGGAAGCAAAAACTCGCATGGACTATACCTTCATAATCCTCACGGCACAAGGCATGTGAACCACATGCTAGTTGAATCTCCGGCGGGTCATCACAAAACGGCATGGAGCATCTTTCTTCGGCTTCCTCAGTATGTATTCCTTCTCTATGGGCAGACGACGACAGGGAGGATCGGTCCAACGCAAGGGCATTCAGCTGCTGCAGGTTATGACCCACAACAGCTCGCCCTGGTGGTGATAAACTATGAGCACATCACTCTGCCGGAGGTTCATATAGAAGTCTATTGTCCTCCTCGGACTGCTGTGTTCGTCGTTCGTCTGGCAAGAAAAAGGGAGATCCGTCAGCGGTTGCCATAGGTGTATGACCAATACTGCATGTGGGACATGCTAGGAGAGGATGTGGAGGGTGATGGCACCGGGGATAGTCCACGCAGTAAAGACACATACTTTCTATGACAGCTTCCTGGAAGCATTGACGACACATGGCATGTTGCTGACATGTTAGTATGGAAGGCCGACGTGCACAGTTATTTAAGCATGGCAGATCAAGGCCACAACGGCATGTTGGACAAGTAATCAGGGGGGGGAGGGGATGAGCTCAGGACTGGGGATCACACTTTTCGTGTGAGAGGCTAGCAGCGACCATCCCTTCATAGTGTTCGGAGCAGAGGCTATATCGTGTACATGCCAACCGAGCTGTACCTGTGCGACGACACAACAGGAGGGCACAGCCATCATCCTGTGGAGAGGTCCTTACACTGTTTGTGGTAGAATCAGCCGGATTGCTCTCCCGGGAGGTGCAGTGCTTGCAAATGCTCATCGACATAGTGTTCCTCGTGGATGAGCCAGACTGAGTGACCCTCCAGCATTTGGTGATAGAAAGAGTTGATATTTCCCACTGTGTGCACCCTACAGCCATTGTCCCATAGGGTCCATACATTATCTGCAAAGGTAAGCGCACTGAAGTGAACTGGACGATATAAGATATATGCCCGAATATTCAGATCCGTGCCTGGCTCATGGTTTTGCGGAGCAGGCTGGAATTGCAGTCGCCTACCCATAAGTGCCATAGCCAGGACTTCTATGTTCACCCCAGGCACAGCGCTGTCGTCGTCTGGGCAGACGGCACGGTGCTCTTCTTCTATCCAGCGAACAATGTCTGCGAAATCAGCAACAGTATAAGGATTATAATTGTAAGCAAGGAGACATACATTAATGGCATAATACGCACAGCGCCCTCGCTGTAGCGCTATGACATTATCTGATTACGCAGGTTGCGTGGGTGATCCGTTTACGGCAGGGGGATCCTCGTTCGATTCTGCGGGTTGCCCAGGTGGCGGAGACTCGTTGTGGTCTTGACCAATTGGCTCCGGTATGTGCTCCGGAGAGAGATGATCTTCAACCGGGGGCTCCGTCAGGTAACCAGGAGACGGGCCATTGTCATTCGGGGCAGGGGAGTGAGTGGGGCTAGGTGGATGAGAGAGGGGCGGGTCAGGTGGGTGAGAACTGGGTGGAATAGATGTGGGAATCGGAAGCTGATCAGCCTCACTTGTGCTCAGGGCGGCTGCTAATCGTGCAAACGCTGCAGAAGTAGCTGCACCTCGTGTCTGGTGCACTCGTAAGCCTGCATGTTACATGCCCAGTTGGGCGATGTACATGTATAACCGAGGATCCGCAATGTGATGAAAAGGACTGAATGGACAATGCAGTGCTAGTGAAATCTCAACAAGCAGTGTACATCCTGATACGTACAAAAATTGTGCTTATAAGTTATAGCCAGTGGAAGACTTAGATACAAGTCCTGACCTGACCGGGACTGACCTCTCTCACGTAGTGCAAGACAGGAAGGAGGCCTGGCGCTACACACAGGAAGAGTGCGCCAGGTCCAGATCATGCACAGCCGAAGAGGAGGGGAACAGACGAAGAAGAGGAGGGGGGAGATGGGAAATTCTTCAATACCAAGTCTTCGTTACAACTCCCAAATAATCCCTCGTCAACATGTCTGAAGCCCAACGTCGAGTCTGGATCCAAATGTCACCAAGCTCTCTCTCTCTCTCTCTCTCTCTCTCTCTCTCTCTCTCTCTCTCTCTCTCTCTCTCTC